AGCATGGCCCTGCCAACACCTTGACTTCAGTCTTCTAGCATCCAGAACTGTGAAAGAATACATTTCTGTCATCTAAAGATACCCATTTTGGGGTAGTTTGTTACAGCAGACCTAGAAAACTAATTCACCATGTTACATGTTTTCATACTTTTTTATACTTTCTTTCCTAGCTCTTAGGAAACAATTATTACATATGAATTATCAGGAAATACGGATGGTGCAATAGTATTAGTCTGGCATTTTTGTGGAGGCCTCCTTAATAGAGACTGTCATAATCTAAACCAGTATCTCAAATGGTAAGGACATTAAAGGGCACATAATTTTGAGGGATCATGTCAGTGGCCAATTACTTCAGCTTCTCAGAGCTAGCATTAGATACATGTCACAGAGGTTTCTAATGTGTAAGTTATCCAAACAGGTCTTTTTAAAAAAAAAAAATAGTAACAGATTGCCATAGAAGGACCCTGAAGTAAGAGTCAGGACCATTCGTTCTGCTTCCCCCTTTGCCTCCAGGGGATCCTGAGCACATTCCTTAACAGTAAAAGGAGATTGTTTAGACAGGGGTGGGCAAACTTTTTGACTGGAGGGCCACAATGGGTTCTTAAACTGGACCGGAGGGCTGGAACAAAAGCATGGATGGAGTGTTTGTGTGAACTAATTTAAATTCAAAGTAAACATCATTACATAAAAGGGTACGATCTTTTTTTTTTTCAATAGTTTTATTCATTTCAAACGGCCCTCGGGCCGTAGTTTGCCCACGGCTGGACTAGACAGTTCCTGCGGCTCCTTTGGCTGGAACATTCTGTGGTTTTATGATTGTAATGAGGAGCGATCATTAAAAAGACAGTATTTGGTTCTAAAGCACAAGGTTCCTGGTCACTGCTGGTCTTCTTCCATGAAGAGTATCTATATCCAGGGATGAAACATGAACACAAGATGACGACCCAATCTGATGCTTAAAATGTGTAACTACGGGTTCTGTCCAAGCTTGTTTGACTTGACAACAGTAATGAAGTAGATGTTTCTAGGACTCTCATTAAAAAACAAAATTGTAGGTGGTTAGGCTGTCCAGTCACCTCCTTTTTCTGGAAAGCAGTTCATTCACCTGTAACAAAAGACGGGGGAAGGTTAGAAGCCACGATTCTCATGATCTCTTCCAGTTCTGTGACTTCCAGGCAAGTTTTGTCAAGAGGGGCCTTGAGCTAAGTGTCAGGTCATGGGTCAACCTCAGGAGCCGGTGCTGCCCTCCTTTGCGTGTGTTGGGGACAGCCGTCTGTCTCCCCCGGAATAAGCGATTATATGAGCAACTTTTGGCAAGAATGAAATCCTAACTCTAATGACGTGGACATTAAGAAATTCACTGAATGAGTTTGCATCTTAGTTTCCCCATCTGTAAACTAGGGATAGCTACTGGTAAAGTTGTAAAAGTGTCAAGAGTTGAGCAGAAGTGCCTAGTTTTTGCTGGTTTTTAAAAAGTGTGATTTCCCATAATCCTTAGAAGCACAACGGAAAGATAACCTGCAGTGTCATAAGCACAAGTACCTCTCTGACAACCAGACACATTAAGACTGGAGGTAACGAAGCCAGGTGCCCGGACACCACTCTCACTTCCGGCACTCACTGCGCAGAGCCACGCCCTCCCGCTGACGCAAGACAGC